AGGGTTGTCAGGAGGATTAATAAGTTTACTTATGTGAACAATTTTGTACCATTTAAGTTTCCCCAAAACCAGTTCAAATTGGTGTAATCTAAAAGGGGAAGTTATTGGCTCAGGTAACTCAAAAGTTCAGGCCTGGCTGCATCCGGAGGCTCGGAGGACATCATCAAGAAGCTGTTTCTCACTTTCTTTTCACCTCCTGCCTGCTGGCTTCTTCCTCCCACAGGCTCTCCCCGTGGGGGCAGAGATGGCAGGCGCTCCAGCAGCCCCAGGCTCACCCCGCAGCGGGAAAGAGCGTTCTTCATTCCCAGTAGCTTCCCAGTAAATTCAGGGTTGCCCCTCTTCATGGACGAATCCTGCAGGGCCGGTGGACTGACAGCTCTGACTGTCCCGACCTGGTCATGCGCCCCTCTCCACTGGCAGGGGTGGTAGCATTCACCTCTCTGAAACCACACCATCTGAGAATGGGGGTGGCATCTCCCCAGAGGAAAGGGGAGGGGCAATACCGGGTGGACAGAAAGAGCCGCTGCCTGCCATCTGTCCTGTCTCTCTTGTCTTCTAGCGTTTCCCAGCCAGCTACAGGCGCACATGGCACTACAGCTCTGCCCTCTGCTCGGGGACCACATGTACTCTGCCCGTGTGGCCACTGTTCTGGGCCAGCGCTTTCTGCTGCCTGCTGAGAGCACCAGGCCCCAAAGACAGGTACCCAAGCCCACCTGCCGGCTACCTTTTGGGGTGGGCTGGGGGTGGGGGTGGAGAGCATCTCCAGACATTAGCTATGCAGCTTGGGCTTCCATAGCTCCCTGTAGCCCTGTCTTGCTCTGTGGCCCTGAGCAAATGAAACCCCCTCTCTTGGGTCTCTTTCTGCCCATCTGTTCAATAAGGAAGTCGAACTGGCTGATTTCTAAAGGCCCTTCTAAGTCTGCCATTCTTTTTGGTATAAGGGGTAAAAGAGGTTGTGTGTGTCTATTTGGGTAACTCTGTCTGCTCTAACAGAATAACCTCAAGTACCAGAGCCTTAACACAATAACTTCCTTCCGTGTTAAGTCCAATTAATGGCAGTAGGGTAGAGATGGGCTTGCTCCAAGCATGGGTCACTCAGGGACCCAGGATGTTGCTATCCAGCCAGCGGAGGAGGAGACAGGGCAGGTTCACGGGGGAGGTTTTCTCAGGCCAGATCTAGAAGCGGGATACATGCTCACACTCCTGTGGCATTCAGTGGGGCTCAATCACATGGCCTTACCAACCTGCAGGAGGGGCTGGGGAATGTAGTTTCGCTGAATGCCCAGGAAACTGATTCGGTGACCCCCTAGCTGGTCTCTGCCCGTAGTGTGTGTGTTTGAGTGTGTACGTGTGTACGTGTAGAGAGGCATGCAGAACACGGACGCAGAGGGAGGAGGAAGTACTTGCCTCACTCCCATTTTGCTTAGAGCTCACCTGGCTGAATGCTGACATGTCTCTCCCACCCCAGGTCCTGGATGAAGCCCTCCTCCGCCGCCTCCACCTGACCCCCTCCCAGGCTGCCCAGCTGCCCCTGCACCTCCACCTGCATTGTCTCTACCTCCCAGGTGCCAGGCCCAGGGACCCACCCATCAAGCTTCTGGCACCTTTGCCCTCTTATTTCTCCAGGACCCTGCATTGCCTGGGGCTCCACTACCAATAGTCCTTCTGTTCCCGCTGGAAAGCAGTGGGGGTTGGAGAGCGGATGGGCTGCAGTCAGGCCCGAGGAGAGTGAGGTCAGTGCTCAACACGCAGAAGGCCACAGTGTAAGATCCTCTGTAGTTGGACAAACTTAAGATCACATCCTAAGGCCACTTGCTGAGTGGTGTTGGGCAAATGACTTCACCTCTCTGGACCTGAGATAATAAAAGTACCTACCCTCATAGTATCGTTTTCAGGATTTGCTGAGAAAGAAAATGTTTATCATGGACCGTGGTTTCTGCTGAGTTCAGTATGTGGTCTTTATATTTGGCTGTTTCTGGCCCAGTTCTAGCTGAGAGAAAATGTTAGGTTTTAAAAAAAAATTGTGGTAAAATACACCTAATAAAATTTACCATCTTAACCATTTTTAAGTGTACAGTTCAGTGGCATTAAGGACATTCACACTGTCGTGCAGCCATCACTACCATCCATCTCCAGAACTTTCTCACCTTCCCAAACTGAAACTCTCCCCATTAAACACCAACTCCCCCTCCCCCACCCCTCCCAGCCCTAGTTGCCACCATTCTGTCATCTGTCTCTATGTGTTTGACTACTCATTTAAGTGAAGATGTTAGATCTTTCACTTTAAAAAACCGTGAAATATATGAAACATACAGAGTGCATAAAACATCTCTGTGGGGCTTCCCTGGTGGCGCAGTGGTTGAGAGTCTGCCTGCTGATGCAGGGGACACGGGTTCATGCCCTGGTCGGGGAAGATCCCACATGCCGCAGAGCGGCTGGGCCCGAGAGCCATGGCCGCGGAGCCTGTGCTCCGCAGCAGGAGAGGCCACAACAGTGAGAGGCCTGCATACCGCAAAAAAAAAAAAAAAAAAAAATCTCTGTGATTTAAAGAATAAGGTGACACCCACATAACCACCACTCGGCACAAAACAGAAGCATCCCTTCTCCTATCCTAGACAACAGCAGCTCTCAACCCTGGCCCGACATGAGAACCCCCTACCCTGCCCACTCAGAAAGCTTAAAAAAAACCCCATGCCTCCCATGACTGCACCCCAAAGATGCTGGTTTCACCAGTCTGGAATGGAGACCCTGGCATCAGATCTTTTTTAAAAGCTCTGGAGTGGGTACTGTTGCTCAGTCAAGGTTGGAAACCACTGCCCAGACTTGGGAGAATTCTTTGTTTGTTTTTTAGAGTTTTACCACGTACACATGCATCCTTAAACAATATATTTCCTTTTGCCCTGTTTCTGAAGTTTCTGTTGGAATGGAATTGTGCTGCATATATCCTTTTGAGACTTGTTCTCGCTCTACCCTGTGAAATGCATCCGTTGTGTGGCGCGGAGTTGGAATGTCAGAGCTTGCAGTCTACCCATCTGACTGTTAATGGACACTTAGGTCGTCAGCTGTTACCACAGTGCTGCTGTGAGCCCGCTTGTACGCATCTCCTGGTTCAGCTGTGCAAGAATGGATTCATAAATATACAGAATTTATGTATCTTCATTTGACTAGTGTGTTAGTTTCCTAGGGCTGCTGCTGCAGCAAATTACCACAACCTGAGTGGCCTAAAGCAACAGAAATGGATTCTCTCCCAGTTCTGGAGGCCATAAGTCCAAAATCAAGGTGTCAGCAGGGCTGTGCTCTCCCTGAAGGTTCTAGGTGAGAATCCTTCCTTGCCTCTTCCTGGCTTGTGGCTGCATCACACCAGCCTCTGCCTCTGTCTCCACATGGCCTTCTCGTTTGTCTTCTCTTGTCTCTTGTAAGGACACTTGTCATTGGATTTAGGCCCCATCTGGATAATCCAGGATGATCTCATCTAAAAATCTTTAACGTACTTACATCTACAAAGACCCTTTTTTCCAAATAAAGTCACATTCACAGGTTCCAGGAAGACATACCAATGTTCAACCCATTACAATTAAGAAATACCAAACTTTTTCAGATGGGTGTAGCTTATTGGATATTTCCTTTTTAGGTGACCTTGGCCCCTTGCAGAGGAAGGGAGAGACCCACTTCATCTGGAGAAGGGCTGGGTCCACTCTTCTGCTGTGTCTCCTGCTGTAAATCTTGTGCCCATTAGATGTCATTCTGCTGCCAGCCCAGCTCCTCTGGGCCTGGGGACTGGGGAGACCCGCAGGGCTCAGCAGTCGTGGTAATGTGTCCCAGCCTTCTGCTCACTGCCACATGATCTTGGGCAAGCCATGGCTCCTCGTTCAGACTCAGTTTCCTCATCTGTAACATGAGACTTATCCTCCCACCCCGAGATCAGAGATGCCAGGGGAGTCCCTGGACAGGATGCCTCATGTCTGTCACTGGATGGGAATTCTGGGCCTTGCTTTGTGGAGGAGCTGCTGATTGGCCTCTAGCTCTTGTTCTGGACCTTGGGGTACAGAGCCGCACCCTACTCTCTCTTCACCCTCTAAGAGAAAAGGAGCCAAGCCTCAAATGCTTCATTTGCGTTTTTACTTGGTGCTGCGTCCAGGACGAGGGCAGTGGCGACCGAAGCAAGGACTTCTGTAGCCACACGCCCCTCGCGCCCCCAGGCCCTGGTGTGCACTGATAAGGGGCAGGGGTCCCGGAAGGCCCAGCGTCGCCATGAGGCGTGTCTCAGCCTTGGGTTTGGTGCAGAGTCTGGCCTTGAAGTTGCCTTTGGCCTTGATCTTCCTACGGGTGCTAGGAAGATTTCCAACTTCAAAGCGTTGAGACCACAAGTTACTTCCAAGTGGGGGACCATGAAAGCACTGGGGAGCAAGAGCCTCGGTGTGAAAGGAGGAGAGAAGATCAGGAATCTGTTCAGGAAGGGGGTTCTGAGGGATACAAGCCCTTCCCTTGGGGCTCAGGCCAGCCTGGGAGCTACCCTCTACCTCTGCCCTTCCAGCCCTAACCCCAGTTCTCAGCATTGCCCACCAGGGTATGGGTCACCGTTCGAGGCCCACCTTTCTTGGTTTCAGGGCGTTGGGTGCCAGCTTGAGCTCAGGGTTAGGTGGGAGGGAAATCAAAACCTTGGCAGTAGGTAGAGTCATCAAGGCCTTGCCTGTGGTCGACAGGGCCTCAGAGCCCACCAGCCTGCTGTGCTGTAGACTGAGGCCCCGCCCCTGGGGTCGGAGCACACGGGGAGAAGGCAGCTGGGCCGTGCTGTGGAGGGTGGGGAAGTGCTGATGGGCTGCGAGGGCCTGGGGAGCCCCAGGCTGACCAGCTGCCCCTCCAGGTGTGCATGGAGGGCGGGGAGGCAGGGGGAGCTGACGGCTGGGGTGTGTGAGGGCAGATGGGGCCCACCCGGTTCCTTCTCCAGAGGCTGTGGGAAGAACACAGGGTTTGGAGTCCAACAGACCTGGGGTCTGCATCCCAGCTCTGCCCCTTCTGAGCTGTGCAACCTCGGGCAACTTCCTTAAACTTCCTGATACCTCAGCTGGAAAATGGGGATAATAGCACCTACCTCGCTAGGTTGTGAGGACTAAAAGAGCTGGTCAGGTATCAACACGGTGTAAACTGTTAAGTGCTGTACAAATATTAGTTCCTTTCCACAAGGTGACTTTGCATGGAGGCAAAGACAGAATACTGCAGCAGGAAAAGCTTGGGGTCTGGAGAGAGCTCAACCTGGGACTGAGACCTGGCATCTTTGAAATGAGCACAACTGCCTGGCTGAGTGACTGCTTTGGAGGGGACAATACTCATTTGGCTGTGTGTTTTTTAAAAATACTTTGTAAATGGTGGCTTTTACTTACTACCGGTGGCTCTTGGGTGGGGACAGATCCAGGTGGTTAGGAGGGGCTTGGAGAGCAGGAAGAAATTGCCTTGAGACCCTGGGGTGTTTTGGGGGAATGGTCTTACCCAGGGCCCGGGGGTTCTTCAGACTCAATGGCAATCTGTTCAAGGGGTGGGGATGCCTGTCCCCACTAGCAAAGGTCATGGTGAAAATGCAGCCCATCATCGTGCTGCGGGGGGTCCCACTTCCGGAGACTGGGGCGGACCAGGGCTGTGGCACTTTTCGCCTTGCCTTTCTTCCCCTTTCCAGGGGCCGAGGTGGTGGCAGCGGAGTCTGGCTTCTCAGTGTGCCCCAGGCTCCTGGCCCCAGCAACTTTCCTAGAAGCTGACCTGTGGGTAAGGGTTCCCGAGTCCTTGCCTTCCCCAGAGCCTCGCTGGGTCAGCAGGTGAGGGAGGGCTGGGCGGGCTTCTATTTGCCGGTGACACATCGCCAAGGGCTTCTTGATGGTGGAGCCCTCTACTAGGAGCCGGATACCCACATACTGGGGCACCTCCACGGCAGGCTGTGGGGAAGAAGAGGAGACGAGGCCTGCTCAGACAGTGCTGCTGGAATCCTAGGCCTGGAAGGACTCGGAGCACAGGTAGACGGAATTAACTTCTGGGGCACCTGGTCAGGAGACATTTCTGGGCTGAGAAATGCAAAGCCCATCTCTGTCTCTTAAGGGGTCTGGGCCTGGAGGCCTGAATCAGTACCTAGAGGGTCACAGAGCCCCTGAGATGAGTGACCAAGAGGAACGGGGAAGTCTTAGCCATGCCCCCACCTGCACCCCTCCAACCCCTTGCTCTCCTAAACTGCCCAGCCGCCGCTGGAATGTGTGTTCTCCTCCACAGGCCGCTGCCGATGGACAGCTTCCTGAGATGAGTGAGATTCTCTGCTGAGAGCATGTGAGTTATGACACCCAGACAGATAAGAGGCCTGGAGCCTGCCTAAATCCTTGTCTGAACCCAAGACATGGGGAAGCAGAGCCTCAAAGAAGGCATTCTGTGGAGAGCATGAAGTAGCAAATATGCAGACGGAGGCAGAGAAAACAGCCCAAGAAAGGAGCTCCTGTACCACTTTCAATTCCCATTAAGCCAAGCTGTACTTCATGCAGCTGGACACAGGAGAGCCCCCTGTGTCTTGCCAGGAATCTCCTTTTATTTTTTATTTATTATTATTATTTTTTGGCCACACCACATGGCATGTGGGATCTTAGTTCCCTGACCAGGGAGCGAACCCATGCTCCTTGCCATGGAAGCACGGAGTCTTAACCGCTGGACTGCCAGGGAAGTTCCTAGGAACCCTCCTTTTAATCTGGAGCTAGTATGAGGTGTTTTCTGCGTCATCAAAAGATCCCGATTAGAATCTATCTAAACAGTCACTTGGAGCTTCTTAAAAATACAGATATCAAGGTCCTACTGTATAGCACAGGGAACTACATTCAATAACCTGGAATAAACCATAGAGGAAAAGAATATGAAAAAGAATGTATGTATATGTATAACTGAATCACTTTGCTGTAGAGCAGAAGTTAACACAACATTGTAAATCAACTATACTTCAATAAAAAAGAAATACAGATATCAGAGCTCAAGGAAAGCCCAGTCGATGAGGCAAAGCTCAACCTTATGGAAAAATCTCAGCTAATAAACGTAGAAGGAATGATAGAATTGGCAATTTACCATTTTGCAACTCTAATACAATAGGTAAGAATCAAAATTAGATATCAAAACAAGTAGGTGAAAAGGATGACAGGAAAATGTGTCATCTGCACACTGCCAAAGAATCACCCTACAAAGAAACTGATCATTGCCAAGGGGAGGATGCAACTTTCAATGGAGAGATCTGGTAGCCAAGACCTTAAAGCCATGGTCAGACTTAGCATCCCTAATCATGAGATACTCCAACAATGTGTGATGCTGTATGAGGTACCCAGCATCACCTCTCAAGTATACTTGCCAAAAATGTGTAATCTGAACTTCATCAAGCTGTGTGACCTAACTTCTACTTTATAGGACATTCAGATAACAGATGAACAAGTTAAATACCACCATGAGGAAACAATCAGATAAATCCAGAATGTGGGACAGTTCCGTAAAACAACCAGCCTGGTGCCTTCAAAAGATCCAAATATGGGAAGAAAAAGCAGTGGGGCTGTTCTAGATTATAAGAGATTAAAGAACATCAAAGAGAATAAAATACCTAGGAATAAATTTAACCAAGGAGGTGAAAGACCTGTACACTGAAAACTGTAAGACACTGAAGAAAGAAACTGAAGATGACACAAATAAATGGAAAGATATTCTGCACTCATGAATTGGAAGAATTAATATTATTAAAATGTGTATACCACCAAAGGAATCTATAGGTTCAATGCAATCCCTATCAAAATTCCAATGATATTTTTCACAAAAAGAGAAAAATCAGTCCCCAAATATGTATGGAACCACATAAGACCCCAAATAGTCAAAGAAATCTTGAGAAAGAACAAAGCTGGAGGCATCACACTTCCTGACTTCAAACCATATTACAAAGCTATAGTGATCAAAATAGTATGATACTGGCATAAAAACAGACATGTAGATCAATGGAACAGAATTAAAAGCCCAGAAATAAAACCACACTTATGTGGTCAATTCATTCATGACAAAGGAGACAAGAATATACAGTCTCTTTAATAAATAGTGTCAGGAAAACTGGACAGCCACATGCAAAGAATAAAACTGGACCACTATCTTACACCATACAGAAAAATCAACTCAAATGTATTAAAGACTTGAACATAAGACCTTAAACCATAAAACTCCTAGAAGAAAACAGGCAGGAAGTTCCTTCACATCAGTCTTCGCAAAGTTTTTTGGATTTGACACCAAAAGCAAAGGCAACAAAAGCAAAAATAAACAAACTAAAAAGCTTTTGCACAGTGAAGGAAATCATCAACAAAATCAAAAGACAACCTACCAGATTGGTTCAAGATGGCGGAGTAGAAGGACGTGCGCTCACTCCCTCTTGCGAGAGCACCGGAATCATAACTAACTGCTGAACAATCATTGACAGGAAGACACTGGAACTCACCAAAAAAGATACTCCACATCCAAAGACAAAGGAGAAGCCATAATGAGATGGCAGGAGGGACACAATCACAATAAAACCAAATCCCATAACTGCTGGATGGGTGGCTCACAGACTGAAGAACACTTATACCACAAAAGTCCACTGACTGGAGTGAAGGTTCTGAGCCCCATGTCAGGCTTCCCAACCTGGGGGTCCGGCAACGGGAGGAGGAATTCCTAGAGAATCAGGCTTTGAAGACTAGCGGGATTTGATTGCAGGACTTCGACAGGACTGGGGGAAACAGAGACTCCAATATGGATGGCACACACAAAGTAATATGCACATTGGAACCCAGGGGAAGGAGCAGTGACCCCACAGGAGACTGAACCAGAGCTACCTGCTAGTGTTGAAGGGTTTCCTGCAGAGGCGGGCGGGAGGGTGTGGCTCACCGTGAGGACAAGGACACTGGCAGCAAAAGTTCTGGGAAGTACTCCTTGGCGTGAGCCCTCCCAGAGTCTGCCATTAGCCCCACCAAAGAGCCAGGTAGGATCCAGTGCTGGGTGGCGTCAGGCCAAACAACAAACAGGGAGGGAACCCAACCCACCCATCAGCAGACAAGTAGATTAAAGTTTTACTGAGCTCTGCCCACCAGAGCAACAAACAGCTCTACCCACAGCTCTTCCCTCCCATCAGGAAACTTGCACAAGCCTCTTAGATAGCCTCATCCACCAGAGGGCAGACAGCAGAAGCAAGAAGAATTACAATCCTGCAGCCTGTGGAACAAAAACCACCTTCACAGAAAGACAGACAAGATGAAAAGGCAGAGGGCTATGTACCAGATGAAGGAACAAGATAAAACCCCAGAAAAACAACTAAATGAAGTGGAGATAGGCAGCCTTCTAGAAAAAGACTGCAGAATAATGATAGTGAAGATGATCCAGGACCTCAGAAAAAGAATGGAGGCAAAGATGGAGAAGATGCAAGAAATGTTTAACAAAGACCTAGAAGAATTAAAGAACAAAAAAACAGAGATGAACAGTACAATAACTGAAATGAAAAATCCACTAGAAGGAATCAATAGCAGAATAACTGAGGCAGAAGAACGGATAAGTGACCTGGAAGACAGAATGGTGGAATTCACTGCTGCCGAACAGAATAAAGAAAAAAGAATGAAAAGAAATGAAGACAGCCTAAGAGACCTCTGGGACAACATTAAATGCAACAACATTCGCATCATAGGGGTCCCAGAAGGAGAAGAGAGAGAGAGAAAGGACCCGAGAAACTATTTGAAGAGATTATAGTTGAAAATTTCCCTAACATGGGAAAGGAAATAGCCACCCAAGTCCAGGAAGCACAGAGACCCAGGCAGGATAAACCCAAGGAGAAACACACTGAGACACATAGTAATCAAACTGACAAAAATCAAAGACAAAGAAAAGTCACTGAAAGCAACAAGGGGAAAATGACAACATACAAGGGAACTCCCATAAGGTTAACAGCTGATTTCTCAGCAGAAACTCTACAAGCCAGAAGGGAGTGGCATGATATATTTAAAGTGATGAAAGGCAAGAACCTACAACCAAGATTACTCTACCTGGCAAGGATCTCATTCACATTCGATAGAGAAATCAAAAGCTTTACAGACAAGCAAAAGCTAAGAGAATTCCGCACCACCGAACCAGCTCTACAACAAATGCTAAAGGCACCTCTCTAAGTGGGAAAAACAAGAGAAGAAAAGGACCTACAAAAACAAACCCATTACAATTAAGAAAATGTTCACAGGAACATACATATCTATAATTACCTTAAACGAGAATGGATTAAATGCTCCAACCAAAAGACACAGGCTCGCTGAATGGATACAAAATCAAGACCCATATACATGCTGTCTACAAGAGACCCACTTCAGACCTAGGGATATATACAGACTGAAAATGAGGGGATGGAAAAAGATATTCCATGCAAATGGAAATCAAAAGAAAGCTGGAATAACAATACTCCTATCAGATAAAATAGAGTTTAAAATAAAGAATGTTACAAGAGACAAGGAAGAACACTACATATTCAAGGGATCAATCGATGAAGAAAATATAAAAATTCTAAATATATATGCACCCAACACAGGAACACCTCCATACATAAGGCAAATGCTAACAGCTATAAAAGAGGAAATCGACAGTAACACAATAATAGTGGGGGACTTTAACACCTCACTTACACCAATGGACAGATCATCCAAACAGAAAATTAATAAGGAAACACAAGCTTTAAATGACACAATAGACCAGACAGATTTAATTGATATTTATAGGACATTCCATCCGAAAACAGCAGATTACACTTTCTTCTCAAGTGCACACAAAACATCCTCCAGGATAGACCACATCTTAGGTCACAAATCAAGCCTCGGTGAATTTAAGAAAATTGAAATCATATCAACCATCTTTTCTGACCACAACGCTATGAGAT